GCATAATATTCTTAATTTTTTGGGATGAAAAACACAGATGATAGCTGGGAATCAAACTCAGGTGGAAGCATAGCATGTAATCAATGTAATTTCAGTGTATACCTAAAAAATAGTTTTGCAAATTTTCACTTGCATACAAGTAATGTTGGTGACAGTACAGTCGCCAGGCCCCTTAATTTGCCACTTACTGTGAAAACCAATCAGACTTGACAATAAGTGGTGAAATTAGGGACCTGGTGACTACAGTCACTGACGTTACACCAAGTTGCACAAGTCACTATCTTTCGGGGATTTTTAGAACTAGGAGGTCAGTTTTTGGCACTTCACAAGGAATTTCTCGTTCAGCCTTCAGATCAGGCATTTTTTCAGTTTCTCTTAATATGCTTGGACATAATTTACAAGGACTGTATTGAAGGTGGCTATTTGGTGGCCAGAGTGGAGGGGCTCCTTGTTGAGCCCAACGGCCAAATGTTCAGGACCAGGCAAACCATGTTATGCTGGATTTCGGTCATAGTCAACCAGCCTGGAGAGGAATCGACTCCACCAGGTTGTAAATTTGCCCCAGACATACTTCATGATGACAACCAACTCTCTACTGATACTGGATTGGTCACAGCCCAGGTTAACAATGATTGCATCTTCTGGTGCCACCAAGATCTGTGGGAGAGATGACATTGTCACTGGCACATGGAAATGCTATTACACTGAGAGCCATAGGAAAGGTCAATGAACTAACAAAAAAGGGGGATTTGCCAAACTATCTACCAGTGAAGAATACAAGGTTTACTTCAGCAGGAATGAATACAGACATGAACAAGGTGTTGGATTCCTAATCCACAGAGACATCGTAAACACTGTCATGGATTGCCACTCATTCTCTAGCAAGCTTATTAACATCCGCCTAAGGGCAACCCCTTTTCAGCATTACAGTTATACAAGCCTATGCCCCAATAACTGATTCATGATGAAAATATCATTGAAGAATTTTATAACCAACTATAAGATATTAAAGACCAATCTCCAAAGGATATTTTTATTGTCCAAGGTGATTAGAACTCAAAGGTTGGAGAAGAACACACAGTCAAATCAGCAAGAGATCAGCTGGCACTCTAGCAATGTTGAGAAACTGAGGGATCCAGATGTGGTACAGACATTCCAAGCTGGAAGAGGAGGGCAATTCGCAGCTCTCACCATAATTGCTAATGAAGACTGTGGGTTGTGGAACGTTGTTCAAGGAAGTGAAGATCAATGTAACGCTGCTCTATCATCCCAGGTAAAGTGCATCCGCCACTTTGTTGTTGGACCCTGCCATGTGGATCGTCTGCCGGTCAACTGCATGATCCCTTGTCCTTTCCGTTAATGTGGCTTTGGTTGGCAGTATGATAAAAAAGAGGCAAGAAAGCTGCAAGATATACTCAAAGACGGAGATGACATTATCATTCAGAATCCCTAGCATGACTGTAGTTAGGTCTGGATGGAAAGGAGAACTCTCCATTCCCATGATAAGAGGGGAAGAAATGAAATAGGTCAGAGACCAAGACAACGACTTCATGTCACCTAGATCAAGTTAGTGCCAGTCTTATCGAGCAAGGACTTCCTAACAGAGGGTTTGCTATTCATATGCATAAGTTGTCTTTAGCGGCAGTGTATAACACCTGAATACGCAGAAGGGTGTTGAAGACGTTCATATCAAATTGAAGGTAGCCGTGTCCTGTACCCAGCGTAGCCGCCAACGCCCCAACTGTGTCAGAAAACTTTGATCATTTTCACACTCACCTGAAAAATAAAGGGCTGGCATAGAGCAGTCAGGTCACAAGATGTTTGCAATACGAATAAGTGAAGGAACGGTCCATAGCAGCACACTCTAAGAAGAGTACTCATCCTAGTACATGTTAATAACCTTGAAGGGAGGTAATTGCGAGTAACTCAAAGAAAGGATCTCCATGGACAAAAAAATCACTTCAATATCAGAAATCATGCTGAGATTTAATAACAGAAAGTATTCAATTCAGAAATGAAAAGGACCTGACACAATTCTTTCACTTCATTTCAATCATGCCGAGCATTATTGGAAGAGAAAGCTTGCGACACTGTTGCATCAAAACAGGCGACTCACAGCAGGCCTACTTTTGATGGACCTCGTAACAGTCACAGTAAACAGATTTTGGATGCGCCCACCTTGAAGTGAACACATGCTCCGACAGTGTGTGTAATGGTAGCCCACACGACAGCATTTGTGCTCAACGTAAGTGGAGCCACACAATGGTCATTCTGCAGATCACAAGGTTGTACGTGGTGAGCTGCAGTGGAAATAGATTTGTAAATTTCTCCCGCACGGCCCCTTGGGGAAACCCTGGATTACGGTGTGCCAAGTGGTGCGTAAAAATCCCACCGGATTGAAGAACGTTCGGTTCAGATGGCTGGGGAGGCGGACTGGAGAGGCGCAGCGGTAGGTCTGCGTCACAATGACAAAGTCACCGGGACAGAACTGAAAAAGATAGAAAGACTGCCTGGAAAATGCAATTTGCTCATTCCTGTCTGGGTGCCCGGTGACGTAGTCTCAAATGCTGGTAGGTTTAGACTTGTAACAGTCATTAGAGATCACCAGGTAAGGCATGGACTCACTTCCCTGTGGCCTAGGTGGGCCTACCGATGGCAGCAAGAGCAGCTCCAGAAGGCTGTGATGGAGACTCGGGATTGGGTCCGTGTACCGATGGTGTATTCACCAGGGCAGCGATCTGGGAAGTTGGCCTGGAAAGTGCTATCATGTGGATTATGTCTGGATGCCCACGCCATAGATATGTCAGAGATTAGGTCGCATTTGCATGTAACAGCCGCCTGGAAAAGTGGGGCAGTGGCTCATGTTCATTTGAGAAAGGAGCCTGATGGACTCTCACAATACATATAATTATATTATAATTATTATCATATAAGTATAATTGAAGACAGATGGGTTGAGCATTGATAA